GAAACTTTCTCTATTCTAATCTCGAGAGTCAGAATCGGGTTATCTCAATATTTACAACAATATTTTGACTCTTGACCAAATGGCGTCAGAGTCAAAATCAAAAAAAGTTGACGAAGAGGGTTGTATTGGAAAATTGTACAAGTACAAGGGAGTAAATCGACGAAATTAAGAGTACGAGGGGGTAAAGTGATTCTTGGGCAGAGTACAAGAGGGTAAAGTGGAATTTACCCTTTATTTTATTTATATTTAGTTCAAACAATTTTTAATATTATTTAAGATATAACTTTTATAATTTGACTTTATAATATTTAAAAGACAGATTTGTTACGACACTATATAATTTCTTTAAAATAATTATATATAACTATTATCTATATTATTTTTGAAAGAATTACAAATCATACGATTTGCGATTCGATTCGAGTTACGATTTGAATTTTTGACAAATCGATTTCCGATTCAATTTACCATTTAACAAGCATATTGATATATAAACTCTTGTATATGAATTTCTTCTCTCTTAAAAAAGAAAACACAACAAGACATTCGAAGTATGGGTGTGAATCATTCGGCACCAACTTTTCTGGTTGATAAATTTGGCGTGCAAACAAAATTGTAGCTATTATGTAAATAACTCCACCAACTTTTTTGGTGGATATTCTCAAATTTAATGACAAATGTATTAATAATAACAATATAATAAAAACGGATTGTTCACTTTGCACCCCTGAATTATGGTTTGTGTTGCGTACACACCCTTCAATTATGAAATGTACCAAATAACCCCCTATATCTTTTGATCAAACTTGCAAAAATACATTAGTTTTGTAATGTTTTCTTGAGCAATTACAAATTTACAATCTTACCCCACCTTTAGTCTATGAAAAACATATGCGAACTTTAATATTTAGAAATATTTCAGCCAGAATAAAAAAAAATACAAAAATACACTATCTCCTTTTTTTTTCTCAACATAACTCATCTTTTAAACATTACTTGGAAGACTATTTAAGCAACTATTTAGTTTATTTTAAAATTTTATTAAGTTGAGTATATTTTTTTGTATGTTATAATGGCATGTCACTTTTTTGTAATTAAAATCCATTATAAAGACCTGACGAGCATTATAGTGAAGTTAAGAAGATTTTTTTTTATAGAAAAATGAACTAATACCAAATGAAAAAATGACGGAAAATAAAGGTAAAAAAAGAAGGCACGTATAAGCTTTGAACCCTTACACAATAGGGGTAAAAATGTCCCGAAAAAAAAGGCAACAAGAAAGTCGGTAGGTGATGCTACTTGCTAGCATATTCAAATGGAATACAAATACGAGGGGGTATTTTGATACGTTTCGTAATTGAGGGGTGCGTTTGCGACACACCCCATAATTCAGGGGTGCAAAGTGAACTTTGTTCGAATATAAATGAGTTGCGTGGGGCTCTAGAGTCTCGTAAACTGGCTCAACAAATGTTCGAGCTCAAGTTCGAAAAAAAATTGAGGTTACAAACAAACATCAATATATAATAAAATTCAAAAACTAAAACGTACTAAGGTTTTCAAAAGAATATTAATATAAATTATAATAAAATTTATTTAATCTCCAACTCAATTCATTTACACCCCAGTTCAACATTAGTGAGATGTAATTCATTTCTTGAATTTATGTATGAAAATTTAATCATCTCTCAACCACCCAGACTTACTTCATCATATAATATAACCAGACATATATATATATATATATATCCTTTTCCCCCTATCCTAATACAAAAGTTCTAAAAATTACAGTTAACCCCTTAGTATTTTCTTCACTAAAAGAAATTAAATACATCAACATGTACAACCTTTCTCCTAAAACTAGATCCCTCCAACACCAAGAACCCTACTTCATCAGCCTTCCGAAAAGCCTCCGAAATTCCCTAACTCCAATTAAACCAAAAAAAGAAAAAATCGAAAAATTAAATAATCAGAGCTGTAAAGCCAAATCTGGCTGCTGCTGCTGCTGATTCGGTGAACCAATCTGCTGTAAGCTAGAAGAAGTCGTCGGCGAACCAATCGGAATCCTCACATTCAAATCAGGCGGGCCCACATTCCGATTATGCTGCTTCGGCCAACCCGTTTTCCCAAAGCTCCACATTTCGGGCGGGGCCCGCTCGTTCATTTCCATAAAACCATTTCTTTCGAAATTATACAACGGCTTTTGATGATGAACCGAAGGAAAAGGAGTTCTCCACAAAGAAGGAGAAGAAACCGATACATCGTTTTGGCTGTTGAGTTTTCTAACGGCTTCGATCATGCCTTCGGAAGCTGAAGTAGAAGGTGTTGTACTAGGGAGCTTTTTTAAGGAGGAGGTGCAATCCCCTGTGGACACGGACAGGGGATGAGAATGTGTGGGCCCCACTTCACCCACCCAACCAGGCCCGTACTGTGCACTGGAGGGTAATGCATGCTCGATTCTTTTCGATGCGATTTTCCAAGCTGTGGGCCCGAGATTTGCTGCGTATCTAGCTAAGCTTCTTGCATAGGCAAGTGGCTCTTGTACACCAACCTATAATTAAAAATAAATAAGGTTCAATGGGCTTGAAATTGATCCATAAATGAGAAAATTCATAGAAACTAAGAGCCAATTCATCGAAAAATCCAAATGGGCATTTTTTATTTTATTTTTTTTATAAACTAGTTTCTAAGAAAAGCACATACCGGGACCAATCTTTTCATATCTTCGATAGAACTAGACAAAGCAGGCAAATTGTTATTGCCACAAGAAACGGGACGGAATTGCTTATACGTATCACGCCTGTTCTCATCCACCGTAAACTGTTTTTTCCCATACTTCATATCAGCCCTCAAAATCGATGCTGCAAGTTAATATACCAAAGGGAGATGTTAAAATAAAACCAAGACTAAAATAATAATCGAATAAATGTTGAATCATTTCACCATCATCAGCATAAAAACAAATAACAGACCTGGGAATTCATCGTTCCAATCAGCCAACCACTCAGAGTAGTTTTCGCCGTTTCTTGGTCTGTAAGGCGATACGTAAAGATCAGAGGTTCGATATCTATGTAAAGCAGGTGCCTTTCTTAGATTGTAAGAGTTGGATCCAGTGCCCCTTTCTTCTCCACTGTTGTTGAGAGCAGCTGCACCCGATGAAAGGTCAACACGGTCAACAGGGGAAGAAGTTTCTAGAAGCTTCTTCTGGTTTTTGTTCGTTGGGGGCCTACCCCTCCTCACGACTTTGGGCTGTGGTTCACCATTATCTCCTTCGTGCCTCAAATTTTCGAAATCCCTTTTTGCAAGATCTTGTATTGTTCGTGCCTGATGTATTATATAGTAAATTTATTCAGATTGAAAATACAACGAAATGAAATAAGAAAAGAGATTATATGCACGAACCTGTCGATGGTAAACAGTGTCTGAAGCATTGTACAGCATGGCATTCGAACATATCAAAAACACGTCACCCTGGAATCACAATGGAGATAAGTATACATCAGCTTTGATTAATACCATCTGCTGCTAAAACTACGGAAATAATCTAATGAAATCGAGATTAACTAACACACATCACAGAATAACATAATTGAAATCAAGCTACCATGATAAAAATAAAGGCCTGCAGGAAATACAATACTTCAATATGAATTTTATCCAAGACAGTTGATCGAAAATCATAAGAATAATACAGGCAAACATGCAAATCTAATCATGCTTTGCCCAGGTACACTAAACGCAGATTCGAAATGAAAATAAAGATAAATCAAACTGTTCGGTTTCTATAAATTTGGCTGATATAATTCAAACCCACCTCCAATTGTTCCAAGGTTTTATAAACTCCATCGTCGAGTTTCTTCCTCACAGTCCCGAAATCCATAGGTTGTTCTACTATCTCCAAATAATCAGGCAGCTGCAACGAAATATTAACTCCATATCAGCAGCTGAATATAAAAAATTTACCATCATTCAACTATCGAATAAAATATGTCGTCATCACCTCATCGATATCGACGGGCTCCAAAAACACCCCATAAGTGTCCTTCCTGCATTAAAAAAACATGCAACACAAAAATCATGTAAACACAAAAAACAAAACAGTACAAGAAGAAGTAAAAGAGGTTTTGTACAAGAAAAAACACATACTTTTGGAGCCTGTCAAGAACAAAGAGCAACAACTTTTTGTCTGGCAAAGGTGTTGTTGTGGGACCAGACTCCATTGGAGCCCCTATCCACAAAATAAAAATAAAAAAAAATTAAATTAAATGGCCCAAAATCAAATCAACCACAAAAACCAATACACAAAAAAAAAAAATCAAATCTTTTTTTTCTCTTTTATTCTAAAATCAAGAAAAGGGTTGTGATTAAGAACCATGCAGAGGAGGAGTGTCAGTCACTTTCACAATCTTTTTCTCCTGCAAAATAAATATCAATAGAAACCAATAAAATTAAACAACAGTAAATCATAATAATAATAATAATAATAATAATAATAATAATAATAATAATAAGCAGTTAATGAAACAACAGCAGCATCAAAGTACAAGTGAGAAAGAAGATAATAATGCATGCTACTCTACTTGTAACCAAAAGAAACAATAATCAACTCACAATAAAGACAAATCTGAACCCTTTTCAAGACACACTGTTTTTCTTTTTTCTTTTTTTTTAGACAAATAATAATAATAAATATATAAATATTTACAAACAAGTTTTTTTTTTCAGTGAAATTAAATACAAATAAATTAACAACCATTAGCAAGAGAAGCATGCACGTATATATAGGAAAAAGAAAAAAATAGAAATGGATAATCTTTATTATATTTTTTTCCAACATACACACACAGAGATATAGATTTTGACTGAGTCAACACACACACACACACACACACACACACACACACACACACACACACACACACACACCACACCACCTTTAGATCTTCAGAAGTCAGAGCATTCCCATAGAAAAAAAAGTATATATATTTAATTTATTTATTTTTATTTTTGTTTTCGCGCGAAATCCCAAAATCCCCTTCAAATCACATCCACAGAGTGAAAACCCCACCCCCAATTTTTCCGTTACTCCCGAAATAGAAAATTCATTTTCAAAAATAATCACCAAAATTCGTTTAACTGATGTTGGGAATTTTGTTATACAACACTAAATTTTCGAAAAAAAAAAACCCCAATTTTCGTTCAATTTTCAGATTTTTTTTTTTTTTAAAAAAAACAAAAAATTCAAAATTAGCGAACCTGAACGGAAACAGGGTTATCAGATCCGCGATCGACGGCATTGATCTTGCGTTGCTTGGCGCACGCCTCCCGATCCTCTGATTCCGGGTCGGAATCGGAGCCCGAGCCCGAGCCCGATTCGGAATTGTAATCACGTGAATGCTGCCGTTTCTTATTAACCGTGGTTTTCTCATCAGACGGGGGCAAGCGAACAACGAGCTTCACCTTCTTCTCCTTCCTCTCGTCGTCATCGTCGTCGAATTCCGGCGGCGGAGAATTATAATTATTAGGGTTCCGGCGGCCGGATCGGCGGCTCTTGGTGGGGGTAGAATCGTAATTAAGGGTTCTAAGAGGGGCAGAAGGGGTAATTGAGTTTTTGGGAGGGCGGCCCTTCTTCTTCTTCCGCTTCATCTCCGCTTGTGCTGCTGCAGTTGTTGCTACCTTACCCATTTTGCTTTTGGGGTTTTTTTGGAGGGGACCTTTTTTTTTCTTTTTCTTTTTTCTTTTTTCTTTTTTTTTTTATTATATTTTTATTCGCTTTTTTTCAAATTTGGTTTTTTTGGTGTTTATGAATAAGAAAATGTGGGGTTGGGATTGTCACGTGTGAATGTGTTTCACATGTGTGGGATGATACCGATGAGCCGTTCGACGATCTTATTTTAGTATTTTTTTTTTAAAAAATTTACGAAATTCGACTACACGTGTCGGATACGTGTCATTATTCTACTTACGAAAAATCGGTAGGAAAAAAATTTAATTAGCCGTTCCACGGTCTTATTTTAGAAATTTCGTAATATTTTTTTCATGAAATACGATACGACTACTAGTATTGGATACGGGTCTTTATTCTAGTTACGAAAATCAGTAGCAAATTTTTTTAATGGATTTGACAGACGATATAGTAATAATAGTATTTTAGTAAATTTTGTGATATTTTTTCACGAAATACGACTACTAGTATTGGATACGGGTCTTTATTCTAGTTACGAAAACAGTAGGAATTTTTTTAAATGGATTTGATAGACGATATAGTAATAATAGTATTTTAGTAATTAGTAATTATAGTGATATTTTATCACGAAATACGACTACAAGTATTGGATACGGGTCTTTATTCTAGTTACGAAAATCGGTAGGAATTTTTTTAATGAATTTGATAGATGATATAGTAATAATAAAATAAGAATGGTTTCATAAATTGAAAATCCGTAAACAATACACGGACGGATTTGATAGATTTTGTCAATAAATTGAGATCTAATCAAATTTACGGTACATTTTTCGTGTAATTATCTTTCTTTATTATCTAATATTTTTGTGAAATATTTTCTTATTAACTCTCTTCCATATTGTTGTTCCCAAATTATTTTTTAGAAGTGTAAACGGTACTGAACAAACAATGTGCAACGAGCTCGATCTAAAAAGTATTAATAACGACGATCGAATTCATATCGTTAAATATTGCATTCTATTTTGCTACTAGTCTCTATTAAAAAAAAAAAACATCATATCATTTTTCATATTGTAAATGTTTATGTAAAACAAAAATCTTGATTTAGTACAAATCATTTATTGAATATGTAATGTAAATAATTAACAACAAATTCAAGAAATTGGAATCATGTAATTCTAGAGACTAAAATGATGATAATTAAGAAAGTAAAATTTTATTATAGGTCAAAGAGTAATTTCAAGATTTATTAACTTTTCATATTTCAAAATATAACTCTCTCCTCTCGAACTCTCTGAACCCAAAAAAATTATTTACGCTAATTTTCGAATCGTATGGTAATAGATCTGAGGTATATTATGTGTAGATACAAAAATAATTGACCGAGAAATATGGAAGACGAAAAGAATCACATAAATAAATAAAAATGGAAATATTAGGAGAAAAAAAAATCAAAAATTATTTGTACAAACCACAATGAAATGGCACAAAAATAAGATCATGAGCTAATTGCAAATACCACCTTGTGAAATAAGAAATTGCCAAATACGCCCTGCGGAAAGGAAAAAAAAACTCACCCATTCCACATATGAAAACATTTTCTAAGCACACTGCACTATTTATGATTTTAGGCTTTGACTCCATGTAAAATGACAAAAATGCCCCAAGGGGTTTTTAAAAATTATTTACAAATATTATAGAATAAAAAGCAAAATAGCCAAAAGCCAAAATGGGGAATATAAACTGAAGTAATTTGTTCCAACATACCTTCTCAAACTTTAGAATCAACAACAGAAGCAACTTTTTTTTTTAAATGGACTTACTGCACAGAAAATCAAATGCTCGAATCTTGCAGCAATCAAACATACAACAACTATGTTGCAGTAGCACCGAAAAACCGACTCTAATCATAAAACATAAAACAAAGCATATACTATGTTGCAGTTGAACCGAAAAACGACTCAAATCTTTTCATTTCGAATTGCCCCACACACACAAAAAAAAAAGCATCACTTTATAACTCCGAAAAGTTCATAGAAAGCTATAAAGCTTAATTGCATAGTAGAAACTCCAACTACTAATTCACGTAATTAGAAACAGTGGGGCGATAAGTACTGCCTAACCGTACAACGAGAACCTTAAAGATGTTATAAACAAATGTCACAAAACAAATTAACACATCATCTAAGACAACACTCAATCATCGTCCTCTTCCTCCTGCATCAGATTAGAGGCGAAAAAAGAAAGATTCCGATTACATGGTTGTAAACACTAAACAGCAATTTCAAATATATTTAAAGAAAAAAAATCCGTAGGCACGACTCACCTCACCACTTCCTTCATCATCATTGACGTCTGACTTTGACTTGTCGGACTCGTCATCACCATCACCAGACTATTAAAAACGAGGAACAATATGAGAAATTCGAAATTAGAAAGAAAAAAAAATAACTGATACGGTACTCGAAAAAGGTGATTAAAATTTGAGTACCAATTTTCTGTTGTAGACATCCATTTTCCCCTGATATTCCTTCTTCCGCTTCTCCGCCGTAGCGATATAGGGCGCTTTTTCCTAATATTTACGTCATTTCATTTCGCACGAAATTTCAAATATATGTAAAATAAATCAACGAAAAACTAAAGAAACCCAAGATAGAAGCCTCGAATATCCGGAGTGATATTACCTCTTCATCCATTGATTTCCACTTATCACCACCAGCTTTGCAAACCTATATTTTACCCCAATACTTATTAAAAAAAAAATTTAAAAAAAAAAACGAAAACAATAATTGAAAAAAAAATATTGAAATACGAGCCACTCACAGCAGCAACGGATTTGTTGGTGGGGTGTTTTTCCTTGTACTGTTTCCTAAAGTCTTCCCTGCGATCATAAACAAAACCGTTACAAGTTAGAAACCTCGACTGTTGAAAAACAGTACTGAATAACAAATTGGTATTACGAAAATAACATGTCAAAGAACAACAGATGAAACCGAGATCCGCGTACATGAAAACGAAGAAGGCACTTGCAGGCCTCTTTGGCTTGTTTGGGTCCTTTGCTGATTGCTTTTCCTTAGTCGTCTTCTTCACAGCAAGCCTGATTTCCCTCTCGTGACAAATTTTAGTCAAAATTGAACTTGTCGTAAATCGAAAATCGGAAAAATGAATTACGGACAAATGAAATAGAAAAAAGAAAAAAAAAAACAGAATGCACATGAGTCATGACTAACAGATTTGCATAGTTACTTTTTTTCTTCTCCGTTTTTTGAAAAACGATGAACGACAACAAATATGAAATACGAAAATTTTAACATTGATTTGACAAAACAAACTGGACTACTATTCATCTCAGTAACTCAAATTACAGCTTAGGTCAAATTCTATACGAATCTAAATCGGTTCGAAAACTCGAGGAAAAAGTATAAGTGCTTAATCTACTGTAAATCCTTTTAATCAGATTCTTCACGGAAAAACACATGAAACAACAAATGCAAATTTGAAAAAAATTAAGAGCATTCCAGATTTAAACTAATTGCAAAATCACAACAATTAGGTTACTGAGCACAGCATTTAAAAAAAAATTAACTAAAACTCGATCTACAGAGATGAATTTCAAAACATTTTAACATAGCTTACTTGCTGTCAGCTTTCCTGGAATCAGCCTTCGATTTTCCTCCTTTCATCTGAAGCAACAAAAATGCAGAGATCTGAGACGAAGAAATTGACGGAGCGAGTCACCGGAAAATTAGCGAAATTGAAGCGGCGGAACGAATGCCGGAGCGAGTGAAGTTCTTCACCTCAAATAATTCTGTGTTTCTGATTTCAGATTCGCGCGCACGAGATGTAATTGAAATTTTGAAAAAAATGAACAGTAAATTTAATGAAAATTGAAATTATATAGGCGGTCGGGAATTTGGGGGGGTTTTGGGCGGGATCTCTAATTTTTGCCACTTGATCAATGTTTAATTTTTGGTCTAACTCTTACTTTAACTAGTATACCGTAGAATCTCGATAAAATAATAACTGCGTTAACATAATAGTTTTTTACTATTCTGGCTCGGTAAAAATGTACCAAGTTATTAGTTAATATTCCGTTAAATTAATAGAATTTTGACAGTTCCGACTGTATTGATACAGTTGAGACCGTTCAGATTCTATTAATATAACGAAATATTGATTTTTCGAAATATTTTTTCAGCATGTTGTCTTCGAGTTGGGAGTGAAAAATATATATTATTTAGACGAGATTATTAATTTATCGAGCATTAATTTATCGGGTTCTACTGTATAACATAATTATCTCATTTTGGTCACTCAAATTACATAAACATTTGAATATTAATTTAAAGTTAAGAAATTTCATGAGATAAATCCATTTTATGGCATCAATAAATAAATATTAAAATAAAAGAAAAATATGTCGAGCTTACCATTTTGTTTTATCCTACATGTAGTGATATTTATCGGGTAAAAGGTCACCATGAACGTGTATCGATAACTATGCACTGTGCACCCACCCATATTTGTATACATGTAATTTGTGTAGATTTACTATGTAAAGTTACTCTTATGTATTATATACTACCGTTGTAATTGTACACATCGAAATTTTGAAATAAATGACCAATTAATAATCTAATAAATCGATCATTAAATTGGGTCTCACTGAAAGCTCATAATATATTTGGGCTTTACAAATGACCGGCCATCTTACAAGTCAGAAACCCTAGCTCGTAGCTATAAAAAGAGGGTTTCGGTTCATGTAAAAGACAGACTCACATAGACACATATCGAGCTCTCAAGCTCATGTCCTGAGCCTCTGCCGCAAATTCATAACATATTTGAATTCTAGATGTTTGTACTTATTTGATTCAAGGACAAGCCTCTAAGCCCCCGTGAGTCGATTTGATTAATAAATTGTATTTGTTCTCTATTTTCTTGTCTTGTATTTATGTTTTACAGATTATAAAATTTGCGGTTAACAGTAACATCTTGTAGACTCTTAATTACTATATCGATCTTCAACAATCAATTAAACATTAAAATAAAGTAGCTCAATGACGATTCAAATAGTGATTAATCGAAATAACCTAAATAGATAGACGTAGCACAGCATTATAGAGTCGGTAGATTAGAGAAGTTAATTAGCTAGTTAAACAGATAAAGCTAAATCCCATCTTAGAAACTACTATTAATTCACATTAACAGCTTATAAGCTCTTAATTCAATCTTCAAGTTGTGAATGATTGCGAAAGTTTCGACCTCTCTGAGCAAATCCGATGACGACACGAAGATTCTGCCGCGAAATCCGTATTCTTCGACCAAGTTTTTTATAAACTCAACTTCCCTAATGGAAGTTCCCATTAGTGCTTTTTTCGATGCTAAAATGTTTTTCGACTCTATAAGACGAGCATTCGCTAAATTCAGTGCATCTTCCCTCTCTTTCACAGTTTTTGCAAGAGCTGCGAATTGTTGTAATATCGATCTTCTATTCTACATCATGGATACATCCGATCAATTACGATGTATAGTGAGTGGGGGGTTTTATTATTTATACGAATATTCTGGTAAAAATCATGCTATATGAATAGTATAAAGTGGGTTGACCCGACCCGTACTACACACAACCAAATCTTTTTATGTGTAGTACTCGATATCATTCCCATGGTATTATCCTACCTTAACAAAATATTACCATCAACGGCCATTTTTTTGTATACCGAATTGTTTGGTAGGGACTATGGTAAAGTATTCCATAGTATCGAATTGTTTATTTTGACCAAGATAACAAGCTAGCAACAAAGTCAACTAAAAGAAAAAACTATCACTCCAAATATTAGAAGAAATGAACAACTCGAAACAAAATGAGAAGAAGGAATGTTTTCATAATCAAAGTTGAGTTTGCTCTAAATAGAGAATTAAAAACATTAAAGATCATGCAAAACTACTTGCTGCAACTAAAACCATAAAGTAGGTGAAATACAACCCAAGAAATATACATATAATATAGTCGAAAATAACATAACCCTACCCTTTACGGGACTTCAATCATCGTCTTCTTCCTACAACAAATTAATATACAAAAAAAAAAAAAAAAAATCGTCACATATGGGAGTAATTAGATTTTATTAAAAACAGCCCTGAAAGAAAGAAAAAGAAACTACCTCCTCACTTCCTTCCTCAACTTCCGATTTCGACTTATCAGACTCGTCATCACCTCCAGCCTGTTACCATTAACAAAACGTTATTATATAATAATAATACAAAAAAAAGTCGAATTAAAGTAAATAGTAACAAAATGGTTATACCAATTTTTTGTTGTATGCTTCCATTTTACGCTCGTACTCCTCCTTTCGCTTGCCTGCCTTGGCAATGTAGGGAGCTTTTTCCTAATATTTTCACAATTATTTTCACAATCAGAACAAGGTTGAATCGAGCAAACATTAGCAACAAAAAAATCATACGTCAAATCTGTAACGAAATTACCTCGTCAGTCAACGACTTCCACTTGTCACCACCAGCTTTACCAACCTGTATTCACACCGTTAACTATATCAGAAATCGTAATTAACCGACTAAAATAGATGATCAACAAAAAGGGTTACTCACAACAGCAACGGATTTGTTGCCGGGGTGCTTTTCCTTGTACTGCTGCCTAAAGTCTTCCCTGCAATAATTTAACAGCATTATACCAAAAATTAGATTCGTTAATTATTAAAAGAAGAAACGAACACATGGTAAGGACTATGTAACAAAAGTAACGACAAAATTCAGAAATTCAATTTGCATACATGAAAACGAAGAAAGCACTTGGAGCCCTCTTTGGCTTGTTTGGGTCCTTAGCTGCATTCCTCTCTTTCTTCGTCTGCTTCTTCACAGCAAGCCTAGTACCATCAAAAAATCGAACTGAAATTAATTACTTTAAACAACTCCGTAATGACTTGAAAATATGAAATAGAACAAAATTGGTCAATAATCATTATTTTTCTATCAAACCAGAATTATTACAACATTGAAGAAAAAAATATAAATTTTCAAAAAAAATAAAACAAAATCAATGAATAATCATTATTTTTTATCAAACCATACCAAACCAGAATTATTACAACAGTGAAGGAAAAAAAATGAATTTTCAGAAAAATAAAACAAAATCGATGATTAATCATTATTATTAATGGAACCAGAATCATTACAATTTACAACAGTGAAGCAAATATGAATCTCCGATAAACTAATCAGTTAATTAAGATCTATAATCATTAATTCACAATATCACAGAACTAACCACATTTAAAACCTAATTCTAAAATCTATAGAACACAACTTTAATTGAATTTGCCTCAATGTCATTGTGACAATTGAAAAAAAAATATCAAAAAAGTACTGAAAATGTGGTAAAAATGATTAAATCGGGATATATTAATTTAAAAAAAAAACTAAAAAAAAAATTCACAGCAGAATTAAAATTGCAATAAGATCGGGGATGCGTATTCATCAAAATACAAGGTAGATAAATCAATAGCAAATAAAAAATACATCGGTTACCTGCTATCGGCCTTGCGAGAATCAGCCTTCGATTTTGCTCCTTTCATCTGAAATCGGAGAAAAAACAAAAAAAAAAAAAAAAAGGGAAAAATTCGTAAGCGAAATTCAGAAAATGAATAAACGGAAAACAAAAAGGAAATCGGCAGAAACTCACGGCAGAGAGAAAGTTTGAGAATTAGGGTTTCGGGGAGAGAAGAATGTAGAAACGCAGTTTAGGGATATTGTGGGGGAGAGGTTATTTGCGTGTGATTATATTACTATTATTAATTATTATTATTATTATAAAAAAAAAGGGGGGGGGGGTGAAATCAATGAGCCGAATTCAATGAAATAAAATATATGCGCGCCTTTGGAAATTGGTAAATTACTTTAGGCGGGATCTGAAAATATTTTTCGCCACGTCATCCCTTCGTGTGGAGATATTTTTTCCCTATGGGCCTTCTTTCGTGATATATACTTTGGCCCATTCCATACTTACTCAAATTATTGCAAATTAATACTGTCCAAATTGATAAATATTAAATTATCGAACTAATAATTAAACGTGACGACTGCAAATAATTACTATTTAAGTGAAATTATTAATTTATTGGGTATTAATTTATCGTGTTTCGAGAACTTTATATTCTTTTCCCAAATTTTCTCAACTTTGAAAATCAGAAGTTTGTAAATTGTGAAGTTTATTCTGGATAATATCAGCCGAAACCAATAATTATCGAAATGGCACGATTATAAGGTAAAATTTACTTGCTTTTCGTGATTTCGTTTTTTATTTTACCTTTTGTTATTTGGAGTTATTAGAATGGATCAATAATTCCCTTCACTTGAGAGGGAGTTCACTTTGACGACTTAGGTTATAACATATACATATAAGAGCAACTTAAATGGAGTTATTAAATGGGTTATCAAACCATTAACTATCATTTTGATAATTCAAGTTAGAAATTTTTCACTCCAATGGAGTTATCAAATGGGTTTCTATTTTGATATTTTAATTTTTGGGATGTAAAAATACATCTGGAAGAAATAATGTCAATTGGAAGTTACACAACTTAACCACCTAAATAGCCTATTAGAAAATGACATGTGTTAATTAAAATATATAATCACATTATTTATTTTTAATTATCAACTATTTGATATCTATGGTTGGAGCAAATAAATTTAGTTAGGTATCAAATTAAAATATAAAATATAAAATAAATATTTGATAATTCATTTTGATATTTGTAGGTTGGAGTTGCTCTAAGGGGCAATTTGATATACGTCCTAATATAATAGCTTCTCTGTGTGTAAATCCATCTGTTAAGTTCCAATTTTCAGTAAATATATTAATTTTGATTTGTCAAAAATACCTCCCAACAGCAACTCCAATGGGGTTATCAAATAGAGTATTCAAACATTTAACTCCCATTTACATACTTAAAAATAGAAATCTTTAACTCCAATGAAGTTATCAAATGAGGTTTCCATTTTGATAATTCACCTTTTAAGTTGTAAAAATACTTGCTGGAAATTGAGTTATCAAAATTGTAATCTCTTAAACATCCAATCAGAAGTTGACACGTGGCAATTACAAATAAAACCACCCATAAACTTCCAATTGATAATTAATTTAATAACCATGGTTGGAGTAGATGAATTTTAAATTAATATTAAAATAGTTCTCAAATATCAAATGAGTATTTGATAACTAAATTTTAATATCTAGCATTGGAGTTGCTCTAAGCGCAACTCCAAGGGGAATATCAAATGGATTATAAATCCATAAACCACCTTTTTGATATTCCAAAATTAAAATTTCCCACTCCAATGGGTAAGTATTTTGATATTCTACCTCTTTGAATGTAAAAAATACATCTCGGAAATTGAGTTATCAAAAAAAATAACTACTTAAAACATCAAATCGCAAAATGACACGTGGTAATTACAAATAAAACCACTAAAAACTTTCAATTGATTATTTATTTAGATAAATTGTAAATGGATATTATTAGGGATAACCCCCTTTGTTCATATTTTCTAATGAGGTAAATCCAATTAATTTTTCCCTTTTTGAGATACACCCAAATTTGCCAACTTGGCAAAATATATTATATAATTTCCCTTTAATACCCCTGTTTTGTTTTTTAACGACATTTATTTCCTTAACTACGTGATATGAGATTTGCTGATACGTGATTATAAAATCACGAAATAAATTTACGTGAGATCATTGGCCGTTCTATCAAATCGTGTCTATCAAATCGTGTACATTTTTTTTTTAAGATTTATCCAGCGTTCCATCGTTTTAATCGCCTTTGAAGATTTCTTCACCGTCAAGCGGGTATGAATGCGTCTTTTTTCGCTGTATGTACAGGATTGTCGTGTACGGTGGTTAGACATTTTTAAGAGTTGTGTTGATACTTGATTCTATTAAGTAGAACATTTTTTAACAAAATTACGTCGTCATATATACATCGTTATTTTTGGCAGATGATGTTTGTTTGAAAGAGGATTGACAGAGTTAGAAGATGATGGTTCACGCAGATCGGACCAGAGTTGTTTTATATGAGCTTCGTAGTTGGTTTATGCAATAATCGGAATAATTGTCCGATGTGGTCGAGTTCATGTTTTTGATCCCGATCGATAGTTGGTTTATTTGTTTATAACAGCCGATTTAAGTGTGCTGGGTAGTACATTAAAATATAGTTCGTAGTCTTTTTTTAATTTAGCGTATGGATTTTGCATTTTAAGTTTATTTTTGATGATATTAATGTATTATCATTCAAATGTATTTGCAGTCTATTTAATCATTTTTTAGTATTCTGCATTTTTAATTTTGTTTCATAATTTTAGGTTTTTTCGATGGCGAATTTCGTACGGATTTTGTTGAGGTTTGGTGGGTTGGTTGCTATAAAGAGGTGTTTACGATGTAATGGCTCGGTAACTTCGGTTAAGTGTTAAACCGTTGTAATACAGTAGTATACTATTATGAATACCGTATGATAATACCATTATCATTTTATTATACTATTATGAGATTATTAATGTACTAGAGTTTTTTAACTCGACATATTGGTTTGATTGTGTTATGATGTATTTTATGTATTTTATCAAAACCCTAGATTGAAATTATGAGATTATTAATGTACTATTTTATTGGTTATGTTGGAATACTTTACGTTGGTGTTGTTCTCAATGTTCTTGTCATTTCAGTGGTATATTGTTTGTAACACAATTTCATATCACTGCTATAACCGTAATATACTATCATAGCAAATTAATGTACTATATTGAAATTATTAATATACTATGTGGTTGAATAATACGGGATCCATAGTCGATTAACGAGATCCATAGTCGAATTAGATCAATAAGATAGTCTATTACATGATATAAGGAAAATTACCCTAATTGATTAGTATTTCAAACAAACATATTATTCAGTTTCCATATATATTATTATTTTTTCATATATATTATTATTTACCCTAATTGTTTTCATATAATAAGGAAAATTACCCTAAGTGATTAGTATTTCAAACAAACATATTATTCAGTTTCCATATATATTATTATTTTTCCAATAGTCAATTAACTAAACCCATAGTCGAATTAGATACATGGGATAGTCTATGAAAAGATATGAGATAGTCTATTAATTTTAAAACACAAATCCGCCGCCGTCACTTCTCAAATCTAGGGTTTTGATGATTCTTCGGCCCATAGTCGATTAACGAGATCCATAGTAAAATTATACCAGTGGGATAGTCTATTAAATGATATGGGATAGTATATTAATACAGATGTAATTCGACTATGCATCTCGTTAATCAACTATGGGCCGAAGAATTATCAAAACCCTAGATTTGAGTAATCCTAGATTTGAGTAACCCTAGATTGGAGCAGTGACGGCGACGGCGACGGCGGCCAACGACGATATCACTTCTGGTGGATGTCCTGCACATCAATTGTTGCAATATCACTGATTTAGTGCTCGAATTCGGTATGCGATTATAACAGATCTGCAATTACACAAACATGATAGTCGATTTAGCCAAAACATATCAACAAATCGATGGATGATAGCGATTCAGCGAGTGGCGACGACGTACCTACGGAGGCTTGGTCGGAGTGCAGAAAAATCGCCGATCCACGGCCGTGCAAATTTCTGGTTTTGGGAGGTTTTGCAGTTTTTTTGATAGTGGGTTTGTGGTGATAGTGTTTTAACGGGAAAATAGGGAGAGATTTGATATTATTTCAAAATGTAAAGTAACGGGATTTGTGGGATTTGATTGAGAGTAATTATGTAATTTAGAAAAGTTTGGATTTTTATCGAAATGGCAAATTTAAGTTTGGGTCTACCCCTATTATTTGAATGTTTAAGGGAGTTATATCTAATAGACCCTAAAATATTTTCTTGATTATCAAATGAGTATTTGATAATCCAATTTTAATGTTGACTAATGAAAATGAAATTATTTAGAATAATAATCCCATAATGATCTCCCTCAAAGGAACTGAAATTAGTGCCACATTCCCAAATATGTCGTAAAACCAAATCTGCAATACCAAACCCTATACATAATTTAAACTCCTCGAATCGTTTGCAATTTCATATTTCAGTTTGAAAAGACTTCAAATTCCCGTTTTGTTTGAAATCACAAAGCACAAAATCAATATATATCACTTAGACACATAATCGAATTATTGTGGTTAAGGAATTGGCCATACCCATATGGAATTTTAATAAGATATGCTATATATTCTTTTTGCGGTAATATTTGCAACTAGGAGTTCCGATGAACGAAGGAGAAGGGGTGGGCTAAAGACTAATCAAACAAATATAGTAGTTCGTTGACGTTCGAGCTTTAATAATACCGTTTCGATTTTAAAATTAAATGTCGGACGAGAAAGATATACATGAATCAATGGATACTGCCCACAACTTTGATGTATTAAGATATCTAAAATTCAAAGACACGACATCCAATCTAGCGGATTTAAGTTGGATTAGAAAACTAACCCAAAAGACTACAGTTTTTGTGCTTCGAATTTTGCCAAAATCAAAATGTAAATATGTCAAAATCGAGTTCAAAGTCAAAACGACATTAGTAAAATTGAAACGACATTTAACATTTCAGATATTTCAATTACATAATATTTTCGTACTCAAGTGGAAAATTTAATTTATTCGATTTGTTCGTCTACGCTAACATAAATTATTCGATTCTGATTTAAGCGGATATTTTGCTCTTGGCTACATAATGCAAATTATGCAAATCTTGTTGAGCAACAAACAACAGTTCAATTTCATCGAATATTGGTCGAAAATGGTCCCACACACGACTTATTGCCTTCCCTCGGATTCTTCTAGAAACATCACAAGGTTCTACGATAAACTCTTCGAGCGCCGCAGCTCTCTTTAGAACATACAATGCAAATTCCAATTCAGACGGGCAACCTAAATATCCCGAAAATGTCACCTCTTTCAGATGATTATTTGCCGGATTTTGTTCATCTAAACACTCGACGGGCTCTCTACGTTTAAATTCTGTATCGAACATCGACCACAAGAACTGCAACCACAATTTATTTTTCCAATAATTATTTTCACCTAAATAAAAAATATATATTAATTTGAAATAAAAAAAAATATATATGAAAAAAGATACCACGTACCTTCACCTCCAGTTTCTCCAACAAAGGACAAGCCTCGATCAGATGAAATAGTTTAGAGGTATCGGTGTCGATATTCATGATTACACGCAGCTCTAGATGCTTTAGATTTATTAATTTGGGAAGTACATAGTCTGCTTCAGTGGCCTGAAAGATTAAACCAAACTTTGATCAATCATCTGCAATATATATATATATATATATATATATATATATATATATATATATATATATATATATATATATATATATATCTATATATATATATATATATATAT